AATAATAATAATAATAATATGATGTTAAAACTGATAACAATTGTAGTGATAATAATAATAATCATAATGATTATAATAGTGTTAATGATGATGACAATGATAATTATAATAACAATGAAAAGAATTGAGGTAAAATTGATAATAATGCTGATGATGATGATGGTTATGATGATGATGATGATGAATATAATGATGGTATTGATGATGAGGATGATAATGATGTTGATGATTATAATAATAATGATTATTTTAATGATGATAATCATAATAAAGATGATAATGTAGATGATGTCGGTGATAATGAAGATGATATTAATAATGATAACGATGAAAGCGATAATCATAATTATGATTATGAAGATAATGATGATGATAATAATGATCATGATGTTGATGATAATAATAATTATGATAATTATAATGATAATTGTAATTATTGTGATGATAGTGTTAATGATAATAAAACTGGTAATAATTGTGCTAATGGTGGTAATGATAATAATAATATTGATACTCATGATAACAAGTATAATAAGTAAAATGATCAACATGACATTGATGATGGTGGGGAATATAAGTTTAGAAAGTTGGAAGGAACATTTTAGAGATCTTCTGGGAGGGGTAGATGTTAAAACAGAAGGGATAAGAGGGGCAATGGACAACGAGGAGGTTATGGGAGAGGCGCTTATGGATTGGGAGATCACCACAGCAGAAAATCGATTGAAAAAGAAAAAGGCAGCGGGTATGGATGGAATTCCAGGGGAGGCCGGGTTATTTGCGGGGGATATGATTAGGAATTAACTGATGGGGATTATGAAAAAGGTGTGGAAAGGTGAAGGGATTACAGAATACTGGAAGACAGCGGTAGTAATTCCGTTGTTTAAAAAAGGGGACAGAGATGATCCAAAAAGTTATAGAGGGATATCGTTAATCCCCGCAGCTTATAAAATATATACAGAGATAGTGAGGAAAAGATTGGAAGCAGAGATGAATGACAAGGATATGTTACCTGAAGGACAGGTGGGATTCCGTAAATCCTCAGGTTCACGATTTTATATTTATGTGTTGGATTATATAGCACAGAGGGCGAAAGTTAAAAATGAAGAATTATACGCACTGTTTGTAGATTCTAAAGCGGCGTTTGATACAGTGGACAGAAAGATTTTATTAGGTTTTGGAAAAAAAGGGGGTAAGTAAATATCTGATTGAAAGGTTGAAGGAGATGTGTGTGGAAACAAAAGTGAGGATCAGAGGCAAAGAAGGACTATCAGTGGAAATTTGGATTAAGATGGGATTGAGACAGGGCTGTCTGCTGAGTCCAGCGTTATTCTGTTTATATATTGCTGGTTTGGAGGAGGATTTTAGGGCAAGGGGTGTAGGCGGAGTATTAATAGATAAGGTTAGAACATGGTCACTAGCATATGCGGATGACTAGTGTTACTCGAATTAAACAGGGAGGCTATTATAGATATAATGGGTGTGCTCAGAGGATTCGTGGTCAAGAGAAAGTTCTACGAAATCAAAAATGCTAATTTTTAACAGTAGGCAAAAACTGAGCAAAAGTGTATGGAAGTGGGGAAATGAAAAAATAGAAGAGGTAAAGTCTTTTAAATATTTGGGTTTTATTTTTAATAGGAAGGGGAACTACAATGATCATAATAATGAATTGAAAAGAAAAGGTAAAATAGCGGCAAAAAAAACGTGGAGATTAGGGGAAAGGCTATGTAAAAATGACTTTAGAAGGTGGTGCTTTATGTATGATTATCTAGTAAAAAGTACAATGTGCTACAGGGCAGAGATTTTTGGGTGGAAAGAGAGGAAAGAACTAGAAAAGGTGCAATTAGACTATTTTAGATGGATATTAAAGTTAGACTTTTGCACGCCGAGATATTCGATATCAAAAGAAACGAGTATTAAAAAGTTATGGATAGACTTCAGTAAAAGATCATTGAGTTATGAGAATAAAGATGTTAGACAGGGGGAAGACAGACTCACGAAGTTGTGTTATAAAGAAATGTATGAGAAGGAAAAAAATGTAATGCGTAAAGAAGAAAGGAGAAAATTTCTCAATTATTTAGGTTTTAGTGAATGTGTAATAGAAAGATGGAAAAACCAAAGAGCGAATGTGATCAAAAAAATAACCGAAAGAGTAATTGATATAAAATTGCAAGTAAATGAAACGAAGATCAAAAACTCACACTATAATGTGCGGTATAAGAATATTGTGTATACAGAAAACGCGGATTATTTGAAAATATATGTAAGGGGTGCTAATATAAGTCAGGTTGCGAGAGCAAGATGTGGAAATATGGAAGTAGCAAATAAATATTGGTTGGGGTTAGAAGAAAGATTATGCGTATTTTGTAAAAGAGGGATAGGTAATCTCGAACACATGTTTAAAGATTGTGAGGTATTTCAAAGTTTAGGTACAGGGGAGCAGTGGTGAACGAATGATGAATGGGTCTGCTTGATAAGTGGGAATGGATGTAAAGTAGTGGCGAAGATTTTAGAGAAAATTAATGATAAAATGGTAATATTGAATAACAGAGATAAATACAAGAGTATATCTAGTCAACTGTAAAGCGCGTAAATTAGTTTTATATAACATAAGTAAAGCGCACAGTAGGCAGAAAGTATGATATATGTACGGAAAGATCTATGTTGATGTATGTTTTTGGAAAAACAAAGTTTGTATGAAATGAGAGTATGTGAAAGGATGGTACATTGAAGGATAAAACTACAGCGTTGGCAATGCACACGGTAATAGCTATTTTTTTTTTTATTATGTAAGAAATTTTGTGTTTATTTGTAACTATCACATGTCTGGAAGTCCATTTCTGGGCTAAAAAGCTGAAACTATTAAATGAATAATAAAATAATAGAAGATAATGATGATGATAATGATTATAAATATAAAGACGATACTCAAAATAATAATGTTTTTGATAATAATAATAATAATCATAATGATGATAATGATAATGATGACGATGATGATGATGACGATGATGATGATGATGATGATGATGACGATGATAATGATGATGATGATGACGATGATAATAATGATGATGATGATGATGATGATCATGATGATGATTATAGAGATAGAGATGATAATGACAATTACAATAATGATGATGATGACAATGATTATGATTATGATGATCATGTTAATAATGCCAATGATAGTGACGTTCATGAAGATTAAGATCATTATCATTAATAATATTCATGATAATGATGATTATAAAGATAAAAATGATAGTGATCATGATAATAATGATGATGATGTTTTGGATTATGATGATAATGTTAATGATAGTAATGATAATGATAATGTTGATAATAATAATAATGTTCACAATCATAATAAGAATGACCTTGATGGTGATGACAGTAATCATAAGGATAATAATAAAAGTTATGACAGTTATAATAATGATAATAATGATAATTATTATGATAATAATAAGTATGACGATAGTGTAATAATAATAGGGAGGACGTTTATAATGATAAAATGATAATAGTGATGATTAGGATAATGACGATGATTAAGATAATGATGATACTGATGATGATGGAATTGATCATGATAATGATGATAATAATAATTATGGTAATGTTAATGACAATCATGAGTATGAGGATGATAATAAATATTGACAATAATTATGAGAGTGATATTAATGGTAACGTCAGTTTTAATTACGATTTATATAATGGTAATAACAGTGATGACGATAAAGATAATAATGATGACTCTGACGATATCAAGACATGATGATGGTAAGGATTTTAACAATAATAATGAAAATGACTATGATGGTGATAACAGTAATAATAAGAATAATAATAAAAGTTATGACAGTTATAATAATGATAATAATGATAATTATAGCGATAGCATTAAAATAATAATAAAAAAATAATAATATGATGTTAAAACTGATAACAATTGTAGTGATAATAATAATAATCATAATGATTATAATAGTGTTAATGATGATGACAATGATAATTATAATAACAATGAAAAGAATTGAGGTAAAATTGATAATAATGCTGATGATGATGATGGTTATGATGATGATGATGATGAATATAATGATGGTATTGATGATGAGGATGATAATGATGTTGATGATTATAATAATAATGATTATTTTAATGATGATAATCATAATAAAGATGATAATGTAGATGATGTCGGTGATAATGAAGATGATATTAATAATGATAACGATGAAAGCGATAATCATAATTATGATTATGAAGATAATGATGATGATAATAATGATCATGAAAATAATATTTATAATCATGATGCAAATAATAATATTAGTAATGATGACGATAATTGTGATGATGATATGACGATATCAAGGTTGATTATTATGATGTTCAGAATTATTGTAATAATAATAATAATAATGATGATAATCATGATGGTTATGATAATGGTAATGATGATTATGATGATGTTGATTGAAAAAATGATCATAATGATGATAATAATGAAGATGTCGATAATAATGACAATGATGATGATAATAGTGATAGTTTGGAAAATAATGATATTGACATTTATGATGAAGATGATAATTATAAAGGTCATTATAATGAAGATAATGATGCTGATGATAATTACGATGATGTTATTGATAACGGTTATGACGATGATATTGTTGATAAAGATAGTGATGATAAGAACGGTGATATTTATAATAATGATTCGGATAATAATGTTGATAATAAGAGTACTAATGACGATGACAATAATGATGATCATGACGATATTATGATGATAACGGTGATGTTCAAGATGTTAGTATATATTCACTAAATATTAACTATCATCAGAATGAGGAAAACGATTATGCTGATGACGATGATGATGTTGATGATAATGATGATGATGTGAATGATGAGAACGATCATGTTGATAGTAATAACGACCACAGAAATAATTATGATTATGATGATAATAAAGATTTTGATATAAATGTTTAAGATAATAGTTATTATGAAAATCGTATCGTCGATGATGATTAAGATGATAATGATGAAACCAATGATTAACGTGATAATAATGATAATGTTGTTGTTAATGATGTTGAAGATGTTGATGATAGTAATGATGACAATTATATTAATGGTATTAGAGATGATGATAATCAGAATGCTTATAATACCATTTGGTAATGTGATGATGACGATAATAATAATGATAATGCTTATAATTGCAACGATGACGCTAATAATTATGATAATCATTATGAGATTGAAAATTCAAATACATACGATTTTAATAATAATAACGATGATGTTGATGTTGATTATGACGATAACGTTAAAAATGATAATGTTTATAGTGATAATAATAATGATGATGATGATAATAATGTAGATGATAATGATGATGATGATTGTACTACTGACAAATCCAATATTGATAAGTATGACGATATCCTGATGATAATGAAGATGTTTAGGATGTTAGTAATTATAATGGTCTCGTCAAGAATGTGGCCTCCGAAATCAATAGGCTGAGGTCCTTAGTGCTGTATAAAACGTATTTACACGGGTTCTGCTTACCAGTTCAGGCTAAGCCGAACTGGATTTCTTTGGATGAGTTAGTAAAAGTACATGGTGGGGGCGCTCAAAGATTTGTCTACTAGCTTGGTGCCGAGGCCCGCGAACAGGATCACATATTCACTCTAGCTGCAGTTAGGGTCTTTGGAAGCTTTTCAACGGGTGTGGTTGCCGTCTGTTTCTTACATCCGTTATCTGCTGCGACGCAGTTTGTCCTCGATGGGAGAATGACCTTTCTAGTTTTAGAGGATACGTTGGCGTTTTTGCAGAGGAATTGTATTTCTAAATGTATTCTGACCCCAACGCTGGTAAATGTTCCGCTGGGTGTGTGGTAGGTGACTCCGTTGTAATCTCCGTCTTCTTTAAGTATACCTGCTCCTGTCAGGGATCGGTAGTTTATGACACTGGGCTCAAGATCTCTGAGCAAGTTATACTCGTAATCAAGACTCCTGTGGGTAATGAGCTCCGTACATTCTTCTGGCAAGAAAGTGTGAAAGTGAATTTCTTCCTTTTTTGGTGTGGCGTATTTTCTCCAATCGCAGTACTCAATTTTCTTCCTAACCTTAGTTCGGCACGAGTTGACTTGAAGGGGTATTTGCCCTGAATGCTGGACAAGCTGTATTGGTATGGTGGAAACGTCGACTTGGGCGGTGTCGTAGTTGCATTTGTTGACGTGTTCCAAAGAGAAGGTTGCTATGTTGGATTTTGTCCAGGCTCAGTCATATCCAATGAAAGCAGAGGCCATCTTTGTTAGTGCAGTGATAATTAAACTAAGTTTTCGTCGCAATTAGTTTAATGATAATTATTTAAATATCGCCAGGTAGGGGTAGTTTAGTTTTGCGCTATTTCTTAGGGTGTACAACCTTCCTTTTGCTTTGGTTAGTGTTTCGTTCAAAATGTGCGTAATTTTGTACGGGCCCTTGGATTAGGGGGCAAACTTCCTTCTTTTGGGCTTGTTTATGAGCATCACCGAGTCGCCTTTCAAATGTCGCCTTAAAACTTTCGCTTTTAAACTCCAATATTATCATCAAAAAATTTACGTGAAAAAAATTTGTTTCTACTAACTCCGTGTCGTCCTCGACCGGTAGTCTTGATAACGCGTCACAGTTCGCGTTCGCTTCGGACTTAATGTGCTCTATCTCATATCTAACTCGGGATAGATGATATGCCCACCTTTGTAGGCGATTATCAACCATAAGCCGTATCCTTTTTCGCGGTCCTAAAATTAAGTGTAATGGCTTATTGTCTGTTTGTAAAACTATCTCCTTGACAAACACGAATTGGTAAAAATGCTTAAACCCAAAAACGAATGCCATTGCTTCTTTATTTAGTATAGTACGGTCCAACTCTTTTTTTGCAATTTTCTTTAAGGCGAATACGATCGGTCGTTCTCTACCATCTTTGTATCTGTGCGACAATATTGCCGAAAGCCCGTAAGCCGATGCATCGCAAGCTCGTATTAACTGTTTTTTCGGATCATAATGCGCTAAAACTTCTGGTGAAATTAATTTATTTTTCACCCACTCACATGATTTTTTACATTTTCTATTCCACTTAAATCTCTTAGCGCTTTACAAGTCATAAAGCAGTTTCCGTCTTTCTAATCGATTAGATAAAAATCTGGCGTAAAAACTTATCAGTTCTAAAAATGATGCTAATTCTTTGTTATAAGTAGAACGCGGTGCATTAATCATGGCATCAACTTTGGATTTTGCTGTATGCAAGCCATTTTTATCAAATTCAAATCCCAAAACTTTAATACTGTCTTGCATAAATTTTCATTTACTTCTATTAGCCGTCAAACCACTTTCCGGTAAATGTGAACATACTCGTTTAAAATTTTTCAAGTGCTTTTTATCTGTGCTGCCTGTTACATAAATATTATCAAGATATGCGATCACGCCGTCACAGGCTCTTCAGCATTTGTCAATTTTGTTTTGCACGTCTGCTGGCAGTGGCGAGACACCCTCTAGTACTTTCGTATATCCAAATAGCCCTTTGTGGGTTACAATCGTAAACCAGTCTTTGCATTCATCTGCCACTAGAAGCTGCATATAAGCATGTGCGAAGTCTAGCTCAGAAAAGGAAATTCTACCTTATAGTCTCGCAAAAATGTCCTCAATTGTGTGCAAAAGATAATAAAATGAGGATTAACCGTTAATTTAAATCTATCGATTTCCTTTTCGACGAGTTGCTTTAGTGCATGTGCAACGTTCCTACACTTTATAGTTATCGGGTGCACGTCGCTTTTTAAATGAATATTAGTTCTACTCTTATTGTAAAGTCCCGGTGACTCACTCAATAATTCATTAAGCTCTTTACTCAATTCGCTCTGGATCATAACATTGATTTTTAGAACAAGGTCTTCTATCTGTCTTTCGAGCTTTAAAGGCCGTAGTCCAAACTCTGAGAGCCACTGTCGACCTATCAAGGCTGGTCCGGCTCCAGGCAATACGAAACAATTTAATAAACGCGTGATATTGTTGAATTTTACCGCCAAATTTAATAGTTTGCCGATGGGCTTTAAATATCTGTTATCGTAAGCTTTCAAGTTAATCCCCGTCTTTTCAAGTTTATGTTCGCTTAATTTCGCTTTACATATTTTCTAAGAAATAACAATCGCGTAGGTACCCGTGTCTATTTCCATCGATAGCTTAGCTTTGTTTACATCTATATATCGAACATCGGTTATGCATCTTCTTTACTTACAAAATTTATGTTCACTTTGTTACTTATCTTAAGTGAGAAAAATTATCTCCACTGTGTCTCCTGTTCGTTGATTCTGTCCTCTTCAAAAAGTTAAACTGCTTTCTGGCCTTGACTCTTCTTTCTGAAGACGTTCTTCTGATGTCATTTCTTATAGCAGATATTTCTTACATAAATACTCCTTGAATCAACAGTTTTTTGCTGGATAATTTGTTCTACCGCAACAGTAGCATTTTCGTTGCTTCTCTTCCGAACTTTCGTTTTTTTCTTCAGTGTAATCATGGCGTGACTCTCTCTGCTGTTAAGATTTGTTTGGCCTTAAATTACCATGGATGTTGCATATCACTCTTGCTGCTTTTCCCTTCTAAGGTATTACATACTTCTATCAAATTTTTTATAGCCGATTCTCTCACCAGCGCTTCCTTGTAGGCATCATCCAATTTTACGGTCGTTTTTTTTTAATAACTCCACTTTCGTTTTTTTATCTCTGAGGCCACAAACGAACTGATCACATAACCCAGTTGAAATATCAGCAAAATTACAGTGTAACGCTAGTTTTATTAGTCTAGCTGCAAACTCTGCCACACTTTCAGTCTGCTTCTGTTAAAACAGATAAAATTTACATCACTCCATCACTTCCGATGGCTTGATGGCTTAGGATTAAGATGTTCTGTCATAACATCAATCAGCTCCTTATTCTTCTTTGCGGTTACTTTTACTGGAGCTACCAGCTGTTTTGCTAACTTAAACGCATCTCCGTCCAGGCTCGTCAACATCGTTGCAACTTGATTAGTATCGTCCTTTATGTGTTGGGCAACAAAAAACAATTCAAGCCTATCAACAAATACCTCCCAGTCATCCTGACCAAAACAAAACTAAATTTTTACACTGGCTTCCGATATTGTACTAACACTGTCCTCTTCTGAATCAATCGTAGTGGAAAATGCTCATCTTCTTCTTCATCGGTTTCAACCTTATAATCTTTTACTACTTCTGCCGATCCACTTTTCATAACCTGTCGTAATTTAATATACAAGTCCTCAATTTTCTCACTTTCGCCGCACTGAAATCCTCTAATGTATGCTAATCCTCTTATTCTACGCAAAAGCCGTCATTATTTAGGTTTTGTGTCCAGCCTGTCTTTCCTTTGCTCGACATTTGATTAATTAGGATGAGATTGACAATAATCATAACAATAGAAATAATGATAAAAGTAATATAATCGTAATAATAATGTCAAAGACGTTAACGACGATGTAATCATGATGATAAAGATGATGATGATGATGATGATGATGATGATGATGATGATGATGATGATGATAATGATGATGATGATGATGATGATGATGATGATAACGAATGATGATGATGATGATGATGATGATGATAACGACGATGACAATGATGGTGGTGCTGATGATAGTGATAATAGAAATAATAATAATTTTGACAATAATAAAGACAATGACAGTAATGAAAAAGGTGATAATGTTTATAATGATAATTCAAAAAATCAGGACGACAACAGTCATGATGATGATGATGATAATAATATCATTATAACAATGTTAATATTGATGATAATGATGATGACGATGGTAAAGATATTGATGACAATTATAATGATGATAATCATGATGATGTCAACGAAAATAAAGATAATGAGAATGATGATGATAGTGATGATAATAATAATGATGCTGATATGA